TGGTCAGGAGACCGATCTATCATCATATGGCGACGTAGAGCGGGAATATTAAAACCATGTCAGGAAGAGCAGGAGAGAGCGCTTTTTTCTTTGATCTCGTTTTTTTGTGTATTGCCTTCGCGTGGGTTTCCTCCAGGTGCTCCGGTTTCCCCCACAGTCCAAAAACATGTGGTACAGGCTAATTGGGTAGGCTAAATTGTCCGTAGTGTGTATGTGTGGATGTTTCCCAGAAATCAGCTGGAATGGCATCCGCTGCGTAAAAACTTGCTGAATAAGTTGGTGGTTCATTCCGCTGTGGCGACCTCGAATTAATAAAGGGACTAAGCTGACAAGAAAATGAACGTTAAACATCATTTAGAAAATATTTAAAAAAGAAGAAAAAAAAATTTGAATGGGACTAATAATTCTGACTTCAACTATATATATATATATATATATATATATATATATATATATATATATATATATATATATATATATATATATATATATATATATATATATATATATATATATATATATATATATATATATATATATATATATATATATATATATATATATATATATATATGCTGTCAATCAATTAAAAAATGAACTAATCAAACAGTTTTTTGCTATTAATCACATTTAAAAGACTGAAACTTGTAATTTTGGCTATTCAAATGTAAACACAAGAAAAAAACAATTTAAATTAAAAAAATAATTGTTCATTATAACTTTTGTTTAACTTTTTAACACAGAACATACAATAAATCATTAAGATCCTGGTTTGACAGCCATATTTATTACATAAATAAAAACATTTGAATTTGTAAGTGCCATTTGAATTTTAAAACAATCAATGCCAATAAAGAAAAAAAAAATATTTGCATGTTGGATTCTAAGTGGACTGCAAAAAAAAAAGACAAAATACAGGCATCGCAAATATAGAAAGTTATAATAATAATAATAATAATAAAGTATTGATTAAAAACAATTGTACTCATTGAAATGTTGTATTGCTGTGAGTTGAGAACATTAATTATAAAGCAGAAACAGTTTTGCTTAGTCCTTTACATTCAGCCAGTTGCTAAGACAGTCCAGTCTGTTGACATTATGCCACTGGTGCTGCGACAAGGACGTAAGAAGCATCAAGCGGTTCATCAAAGGTACACACAGGTATGCGTTGTGTCACACCAAAGTGCGCACACACAGACACACAAAACGCTCAGGACAGTGCAGCCGGAGCGACTCGCTTCAGATTCAACACTTATGATTGCATTCATCAAATTTGCTTAAACTAAGAGTTCTAAAGTATACAACACACATCAACGCGAAGCAGATGCTTTACAAAGGTTTTGTTTAAGGGGGAAACACATTAAACTTAATGAAACATTAGAGTGGCGCATGCTGAAAGGCAGAGGAATGCGCTGTCTTTGACAGCTCGCGACTTCATCCGGCAATTTTTGAGTACATTTACATGGACACCAATACTCTGATTTTAATATGATTGAGATAATACTCTTATTAAGAGTCTATCATATAAGCAGCAATTTTTTTAGGGCCACCAAGTCAAGAAATGCGGAGGTTTTTCTTTCGGTTCGCCACGCAGTATCAAATTCCATTAAAACCGTTAAAAATGAAACACCTGAAATTGCACGAAACTCTGGAGGAAACGCTGGATAGCCTGGTAATGCGACATTTATTGTTTTATACTAAAACTTGCCTTCAAAAAGTGCTTCCTTGGTCTTATCCATATTTCTTTGCATGTTTAACACGTCGACCACAACAGGGATATATATATATATATATAATTCTTCTTAAATTTCACCTTTCTCTATGTTATATCCAGCAGCCGGATATGGCAGCGATCTCTTGCCTTGTGGGGGGTTCTTCAATTCCGTGGCTGCTGTTATGAACGATAGGCGTTTAGGGGAGTACTCGAGACCTACCTAAACTCGGACTTTCCTCTCGCCCTGCAACAGGAGGATCTCACAAGTTCAGGGCTCTCTCCAGGGACAGCATGCCAAACAAGCTTTATAATCAATCATCAGCTAAGGGCGAACTCTTGAAGTGAAGTTTATTTATAAACTAATTTCGAGAGGAGCACGTGCTTATGATTGATAGCACCTGGGGTACGTTCTTCGTACGTGGATTACTCAGTTAGCTGGATTTGGATATTGACGATTTGACACGATCCAGGATCGTTTCGTTCTTCAAAGCTGATCCGAGAGTTGTTGTCATAGCAACAGTTCTTCTAGGTCAAACCTGATCGGGAGCAGGTTCAATTCATATAAACAGGATTAGATCGGCTTAGTTCAAGCAAAGATAATACAGAAAGTATGTTCCGAATTCTGATATTTTCTTACAGTAGTAGTTATATACACTTGGGAAAATGGTAAATATATAAAGTTATAGTTATTAATAAAATAAATAAAGTTATACATATTAATAAAACTTATGCAATCTGACCCTTCGAAATGAAAGTACAAAGACTGCCACCTGGTGGTGCACAGAGAAAACTTATTGATATGAACTTTTTAGATCGCTTTAGTACAAATTGTGTACAATAGAAATGCACAATATGTGACTTTTTTTTAAAGCAATAATACATTTATGCAGTCATAAACATGTTTTGATAGTTAATATGCCCGTGATTTGATGCTTCACAAAAGTTGCAGACGCCTTTACCAATATCAAAATGCTTTTGTAAACAACCAGTTATTCTTTACACCGATTAAAAAAAACGGCTACTATATTAAAGAAAATCTTTTCTAAATGTAGAACTAAATACATTGATTTGCATTGAAATACAGCCTGCAGCTCACAACAAATGTGGAAGGTTATTGCGTGTCATATTTAACAAACCGTTTACTGCTAATTTGATGTAATTTTGCTCACATGGATAATTGAATAATAATCAGATGATGTCATTACGCTGCTGTGCCGTCAGCCAATCGTTGCATTGCTGATCATGATTTCAAGGATCGATAGATCTGTCCTTCACAACACACGCAGTGATCTCAGATCAGTTTATCCAGACATTCTAATCTGATTCGCGAACTTGTTTGAAGAACCAAATTAGCGAGAGATCAGTTATCAAGATTAAAAGATCCAGGATCTGCCAAATAATCTTAGATCATTCAAGCGAGGTACGAAGAACGGACCCCTGGTCCACATTACCTAACACTGATTTACCAATCAGACGACTCCTTAACCACTATAAATAACCAGTGTATCTTACCTCAACCATCTTCGTCTTGAAGAATCCCTCCTTCCACCCCAACTCCTCCCATTTCCTTGTCAGGGCAGCACGGAGGCCAAGTGGTTAGCACCACGGCCGCACATCAAGAATGCCAGCAGCTCAAACTCTACCTTGCCGGGTCGGCGTTTCTGTGCGGAGTTTGCATGTTCTCCTCGTGTCTGTGTGGGTTTTCACCGGTCTCTCTGGTTTTCCTCCGACAGACCAAAAACATATAACATAAGTAAATTGACAGCATAGACACTTCATAGCATTTTAATCTACTTCCAACATGATCAAGCAGGGGAGTACTCGAGACCTTACCTGAACTCGGACTTCCCTCTCGGGGAGGCCCCGGGCTCGAGGATCTCATGAGTTTGGGGCTCTCTCCCGGGACAGCATGCCAATCAAGCTCTATAATCAATCATCAGCTAAGGGTGAACTCTTGATGCTATTTTAGATAGTGGTAAATGCTTTATATGCCACTATAAATGTTTAAATCTTTGATACTGAAGTATTAATCAATATTATTGTTTTTGTGTTAATTTTGGCAAATTATTTGTTTAAGACACCAAGATTCACTATTATACATATTGCTGCTTAAGTGCTTAATCTAAATATGTATTACATTTATATGTGCAATTTAAATTATTTAGAGCTTTAACTGTTATTTGAGAAAAACCCTGTATGCTTTACTATTCCTAACATGGGCAACACGGTGCCTCAATGGTGAAACAGCAGGATGGTCGTTTGTTTGAGTCCAGGCTGGGTCAGTTGGCATTTCTGTGAGGAGTTAGCATGTTCTACTCGTGTTTGCGTTGATTTCCTTCAGGTCCTCCGGTTTTCCCCCCAGTTCAAAAACATGCGCTATAGGTGAATTGAATAAACTAAATTGGCCGTGTGTGAATGAATATGTATGGATGTTTTTAAGTACTGGGTTGCAACTGTAAAGGCATCCGCTGTGTAAAACATATGCTAGATAAGTTGGCGGTTCATTCCGCTGTGGCAACCCCTGATGAATAAAGGGACTAAGTCTAAGTGAAATGAATGAATGAATATAAAATCACACTGCCAAATGGAGGGATTCAGAATCCTGTCCAAGGCACATCTCCAGCACATTGTTGTGTTTTGTCATCAAACATACAGTACTTAATCGCTGGCCTACTGCTTTTTGCATACCTAATTTTAGGGTAGTACGTTGTTTCAAACACAGTCTTGGAGTGATACAGATGGGACACTTATATTTTTTTATGTCTCTGAATATCACTTTTTCTTAGGTGGGTCTCTTAAAAAAAGAAGAAAAAAAAACATCATCCATTGGAGGTTAGACAACAAATTTTTTTTTAACTATTATTCGACTCTTTAATGTTCCATGATATGACACAAGTGCTGGAACTCTCTTTAGGCTTGGCCATTGTCAGTGTGCCCTAGGATAAATTTATAACTGAGCAGTGCACAAGAAGATAAGAGAAAAAAAATGTATTTAAACCAAAAAGAATGAGGCCAAAAAACAAAAAGAACAGTAAAGTATTAGAAACAAAAACCTAATTCCTAACCTTAAATCCACACTTAACCTTATGCAGATAACCTGCTACATAACAGCATCTTAATGTAATTTGAAAAAAAAAAAAAACTAACCCAAGTACTGTTAATTTGCAAAAAAAGCACCCAAGCTTCCTAAAATATTGTAACTTTGCCCATAAATCAGAGAAAACTAATTTTCAGTCTTATTTCCAGCTTTTTTTTTTTTTTTTTTTTTCAAAAATTAGATGGATAATGGGTTTCATTTAGTTTTATATGTTGTACAAAGAATAAACATGTGTGGCCTTCAAATAAGCCACTGCAATATATCACATTTGCTCAAACTGAGAGTAATAGTCTAAAGAAAAGCCTTTATTCCTCATCCTGGTCTAAATTCTGTGAGAAACAGAATTTCTGTGAAAATAACACAGGAATGTAACAATTTGTTTAGATGCAATTAATTTATCCACAAATGTACTGCAGCCCACTCTTATTACAGGAATGAATGTGCAGAAAGAAATTAGGAAAACAGACTTACAAACACATAGCCCATTTCAGTGTACTCTTTGATTTAAAAAAAATAAATAGAGGGGTATTGTTTTGCAATTGGTATTTAAAGGTCATTTAACAGGAAAGAGTGATGTCAGACAGAAGCTTCATCCATAATCCCTGTATGTGTGAGATCATTGACATCTGAGGTTGTGAGCTCGGTAGGTTTAGTCATCTTGTGCCACCGCTGAAAAGAAAAAAAAAAACAGAAACCAGTATAATTAATGTAATTTACTGTAAGAATTGAAATATTACAAATATTCTGATATCTTTGACAATTCAAAACATGAGCTGAAAACAGAGACTGGTGACTTCACAACCCACCAGGGAGGAATGCGGGAAAAACCAGTTCCTGCTGCATTTGCATCTGGCTATGCTGAGACTCAGCTTCATCCCCCAACTCACGCATATGGTCATTTCAATGTTTGAATGTTTTAAATTAACCAAACTGACTTTAACCATCATGTTTGATATCATTTGAAATGTCTCAGTGCGATTGGTACAATGGTCTCATTCTCTCAGAAATAGACATAATCAGAACAATAAATATATAACTTCAGGCATCTTTTGAACCACTGTGAGGGGTGTGACACTAAGTGTGAATGCCTTTTGTTATACATTCACACCCCCTTCCTTGAGGGAATTTTTGGATTATTTAATTTAAGGGTTGAGAAAAACTCAGGGCGATTCTGCCTAACCAGATCAGCCCATAACATGGCTAGCTCCATGTTATGTATATTTTAAAGTCAGGAATGCATCTTTTTCATCTTGGAGTTATCTTTGATAATTTGATGTTTTGTATTGATCGTTTATGAATTGACTGATTGAATTGGCATAATACATTTACCTGACTAATAAATTGTTATGTTTTGAATGATTCAAACAGAGTTTGTGTTATTATCACTGATAAATGTTGTTGTCCATAGCACTACAAGCCACTGTACAGGTTAGTAACGGACTAAAACATGTTAGACGGAGCAGCGTGGCACGCTATTCAATGTTGTTAGAGATCAGACTAACAAATTGGCATTATTTCATGTATACTTGGACTGTAAAAGGCCAACTATTTAGAACAACAAAATATTGTTGAAACTACTTTAAATGTGGATATTTAGGCCTTCATCTACAATAGTATAATCCTGCGCGATTATTATTAAAATATTTTGTCTTGATTAAGTAGATAACAGATCTATGGGGACCACATAAAAATCTCCTAAATTGAGTAAGTAGTGTTCTGCCTTTTTAGGAGAGTGGTTAATCGCCTCTGTTTAATGACCAAGACTGACAAGCTTGTATTAAGAGATTGTATACCCGGCCGGTGCAAGACTCGAGATGCTATAGGAATCTGAGTAAATGAGAATAAGGTATAATAACAAATCAAAAGAATATTCAATCATAATCTAAAATAATGTGAAAGGAAACAAAATAATCTTCTCAATGTTTTATAATTGGAGTCAGATAAAACGAGGATAAACATATTAATATTCTAAACCATCTCATACTAAAATTGGAGTCAGATATGAGTTAAGTTTAATATAAATCAACATTGTGCACTGGAAAGACCGAACATGCAGTGAACCTTCATCCACCATTGGATACCGTCATTGGACCAACTGGCTGGACCCTACATTTACCAATGAATTATAAAGTTGGATACATTGTAGCAAGTTTTATATTATATATATTTATAATTTCAAATTAACTGCAACTTCAAAATGAAAGCATTCCAAAGGTCATTTAGAAGTTTGAAAGAAGGAAAGGAATTGCATTTTAATATTCAGCAGTTTGCAAGTCTGTTTGGAATAAATCAAGTGGCATTGGAGTTTACAACCTGCATATAATGTTGATAGTACATCCATCTGTAAATGTCACCATAGTTTTTCTATAACTGCACTTTATAACTTATACCTGTATCCTGCACTTGGTGCTATTGCACTGCTTGTTAGACCTAAACTGCAATTCGTTGCATTGTACTTGTACATGTGTAATAACAATAAAGTTGAATGTTACCTAATCTGATTTAATGAATTAAGCACATTTGAAAGTTTAAATGTTTGTTTGGAAAAAGTAATTAAAGGAATTATGCAAGTTGTTTAAGTTACTTTAAATGTTTTTTTTTTTAGAAATTAAGAAGAAAATATTAGGATTTGGGAGGGAGGCGGTTAAAAGATAAATAAATAAATTCAAAAGTAAAAGAAACAAATAAAACATAAACGTTTAAGAAAAAAGACCTTCAGACAGAACATTGCTAGTTCAATGAAGGACTTTTGAAGGGATGGAAGATGGAAGGAATGCAGATGAGAAGGAAGTCCACACTAGCTTCCAATTATGAAAATGTGAATTAAGAAGGGATGGTTAGAGGTTAACATTCAGGAAAGCACATTTGGAAGCTGTTTGCAAATTTGAAACGATGAAGGTATGAAACAAAAGTGCTCATTGTTTAAACATACAACCTCAAATGTAAAACAACTCAGTAGATGTTGGGACAGTATGGAATATACAAATAAAAAAAGAAAGTAGTTGTAATTTCCAAATTTACTTTAACTTACGTGTACTTCATTGTAGACATTACAACAAACACTATGTAATGTATAAGTTGTTCCCCTTCGGTTGGGGAACTTCAGTGCTATAAGTGGATTTGATTTGAAAATCCACGTATGGGAGGTTTCGGTTCAGAAGCAGCTTGTCTGAAAGAGTATTGAACGGGCCAATGAATGCAATGAATTGGCAGCGTAAGCTTGCAAAGATGTGCTTCATTGCCAATTATCCAAGCATATAAGCACACCTGGAGCGAGCAAACGCCATCCTTTTCGCTTCAGAGACTTTCTGATCGAGTCGATGAGGGTTCCTCCTGCTGTGATCCAGCGATTCCGAGCAAACAAGAGCATTCTCCCGGTCCAGGGTGTGTACACGCAGCGGCAGACGGTCGAGCTGGGTTTCTCCCTTGCCTGGCGTTCTTTGGGTCCGGTCCTCCAGAGCGGTGCGTATAAAGTTGCAACTTCACAAAGAGAGCAACACAGTCGTGCAGCACGTCCTTTTTAGGAAGACGCTCCGACTGTGCGTTTATGGATGTGGTAGTTTCCTGTCCTCGGATGATCAGGCACGGGCACTGCGTTGCATGCCTGGGGGGTCCAGTATGTTAATGCGCTGCTCGCAGGCAGTTCATGTCGTCATTGCGATGCCATGACTGTTGCGTAGTGAAGATTGCCGCTAGCCTTTGCAAAAGGGCAAACCACCCCAGTTGTCCCCTGCATTGCAGCGGGCACTCGGGCAGATCTGAGGGTTCAACGAGAGATAATCCATCGTCCATGGGCCCGCGGACCTCCCGCTCCTCTAAGCGCTCCATACAATCTTCGGACGGGGGAAGCGATCCGTCTAACAGATGGTAGCCCTTACGCCCGATGACACCGGAGACCAGACGTCCACCGCGGCATCGGAGGGTGGGCTTTTATTGTCCGATGATGATCCAGACCCGCTCGCCCCCTCCGGGCAGGTAAGCGCTGTCACAACGGATCCTGAAACGGACATGTTAGCCGGGCTTTCCCGGGCTGCTTCGGCCGTGGGTTGGAGATGGTTTATCCCCCAGCTCCGCGGCCGGACTGACTAGAGGGGCATTCCCGTCTTCCCGGAGGTGCACAGTAGGCTCACGCGGTCTTGAAGGGCACTTTTTTTTGCTCGTGCTGCGTGTCCCTCCACCCTCACCACTCTTGATGGTGGAACGGCCAGGGGGTATTTGGCGATTCCTCAGGTTGAGTGCGCGATGGCGTTCAATCCGCGCGGTGCCTCTCCTTGGCGGGGTCCGCCTCGTCTCCCATCCAAAGCCTATAAGTTATCTGCCTCCCTCGGAGCTAGAGCTTACAAGGCAGGCGCTGGCCGAGCTGCACGAGGGTGGGTCCAACCCAGGCTTACGAGCTTCGCACCGTCGCCGACTTAGCTCTTCGGACTACTGAGTCCGCTGCTTGTGCGTTGGGGAGGACGATGTCCACATTAGTGATCCAGGAACGCCACCCCTGGCTGATATGCGCGAAGTCGACAAAGTCCGCTTTCTTGACTTCCCCAAATCCCAAGCCATGTTCGGCGACACCGTCTGTGAATTCACCCAGGAATTCGAGGCAGTTGATGGGTGATGTCTTATCGGCAGTCTGTAGCCGCTCCGCCCGCCGTGCCATTCATTCCTGCTCCTCGCCGAAGGCGCCCGCCTACGAGAGCTGCACCGCGGCTGCACCGCGACGAGGAACAGGTTGCTGGCTCTCCCTCCTCGCGATAGGCCTCCCCTGGCAGTTCCCTTCGAGAGAGCACCTACTCTCTCAGGGACAGGGCACCATCTGGCACCCTCGCCGATCTTTGGAGGTCCTTAGACGCAAGGAAGACTTAGGTAACCTCCAATTGCAGTGGCTATTACTGTCACTCGGGCTAGAGCCCCCTCCCCGAGCACGCCTATGCCCTGAAGTGGAGTCTATCCACTGAATGGTGCGTCTCTCGCAGAGATGACCCCCGTAATTTGCCAGATCAGCGTTGTGCTTTCTTTACGCTGAGAGAAGCTGGAGAGCAGGCTGTCGCCCTCCACACTCAAGATTACGTGGCTGCCATCTCCGCTCTCATGACGCGGTGGCTGGCAGCACCGTGGGAACGCACAACCTCATCATCCGGTTCCTCAGGGGCGCTAAGTGAATTAATCCACCCCGCCCCCTCTCATGCCCTGTTAGGATCTCGCCCTCGTTACACGAGCCGCGTCAGATCCCTTCGATCCTTGACTCAGTATCTTTCTGTCCCTGAAGACAGCTCTGCTGGTCGCGTTGATATTGATTAGAGGGTCGGGGACCCGGAGGCATTTTTTCGGTCAGTGACTCGTGCCTGTAATTGGGCTGGCTTTCTCTCACGTCCTGAGACCCCGCCTGCGATATGTGCCCAAGGTTCCTACCACTCCGTTTTAATACCAGGTAGTGAGCCTGCAAGCGCTGCCCTCAGAGGAGGCAGACCCAGCCCTTTCTTTATTGTCCAGTTCGCGTCTTGCGTATTATCCGAACCGCACTCAGAGTTTAGATCATCTGAGCAGCTCTTCGTCTGTTATGGTGGTCGGCAGCAGGGAAGTGCCGTACCGAAATAAGTTTTCCCACTGGATTGTGGATGCCATTCTTAAAAATTCTAGAATTCATATTCAATTTTCAGATTTCACTTACAAAATATTCAATACCCTTTAAAAATACGATGTATAATATTCAAAAGGTCATTTTCAGTTAATTTTATTTCAGTTCAAATATTCGCTTCCATAAATTCGCTTCCATTCATTCATAAATTTTTAAGTATGAAAACGTGTTTGAAATATTTTTCGTTGAAAAATTCACAGCTTAAATAAACAGATATGTTAAATTTCAGGACCTAAAAATACAAACCCTGGAATTCAAGTCATTAAAATGCAAGAACTTGTAAATACGGTGTATTTTTTTTTTTCAGTTTCAGTTTGTGATATTCAACAAGCTTTTTAATTCAAGACGTTTGGCATTGATTTTGTTCCATAATTCTCTCACTTATCAGAGCCAAGGTGAGCCGCGTCCCCCGAGAGTGCGTGTGCACTCCACTCGGAGCTTCGCATCCTCTCAGGCGCACGCATGCGCCGCCTCTCTAACAAACATTTGTAGAGCTGCGGGCTGGGCGACACCCAACACATTTGCAAGGTTTCACAATCTGCGAGTGGAGCTGGTTTCCTCAAGGGTATTCGGTAACCCTTTGGTGATTGAGGAAACAACTCGGTAGGGTGTTGAAACACGCTTGCTGCGCCATTCTCCCTAACACGGAGGTACGTGCGCCTTTTTATCTGTCAGTAAAGTTCCCCGTCAGGTGAGCCCTGCAGATTCCTCCGTGGCCCCCAGCACTGACTCAGCGGTGGAGTCACCTGCTGGCCCACTACATTGTTGGTCTGCCAACTGGTCAGCCTGCGTTTTGGGTTAAGGTGCCTGCTATGCGTGATCCCCACTAGGCGACCCCATATGCTTATTCCACCACGGTTAAGTCCCCCCCCCTGGGTGGACCCATGTCTTCCCTCTTCGCTAACCACTTTTTTTTTCTATGCGTACTGCCCCTTCTTAGGGCTAGTCCATATGTAAATTCTGCCATCTATTCCCCCCTTGGGTAGCGGATGGCCTCTGCAGCGTCCTCCCTATCGGGATTGCATGCTTCCCAATGTATCCTAGAATTATCTAGACGCTCACGACTTCCCAAAAATATATCTGAATCCGTAAAACTTCTGTTAAAGTAGGATAAATTAGGGCCAGGAACACTGCGCCTCCCATGATGTGGGTGCGTCACGATTGCTTGACTATCCCCTCATCGGGGGCATTGGTAAGGTGCAGTCATTATGGCGCTTTCCATATTTCTCCCATACGTGGATTTTCAAATCAAATCCACTCAAATCCTCGGGGAACGAAGGGTTACTTCTGTAACCTCGAACGTTCCCCTTCGGTTGGGGAACTTCAGTGCTATACTCCGTCGCCATAATGACTGTCCCTTAGCTGTTTGAAAGTCTCTTCAGCTTAAAAGGATGGCGTTTGCTCGCTCCAGGTGTGCTTATATGCTGGGATAATTGGCAATGAAGCACACCTGTGCAAGCTTACTCTGCCAATTTATTGCATTTATTGGCCTGTTCAATACTCCTTCAGACAATCGGCTTCTGAACCGAAACCTCCCATACGTGGATTTTCAAATCAAATCCACTTATAGCACATCCGTTCCCCTCCTCAGCAAACGAAGGGTTACATCTGTAACCTCGAACGTTATTTATTTATTTATTTTCTTCTCAAACACTTTTTCAATTCCAATTTTGGTTCTTGCAACACATTTTAAAAAAAGTGTTTAAGCAATAAAAGCCTGGGTCTGTCATTGTATGGGGTTGTGTCAGAGAAAGGGTAAATTGCACCTCTGTGATGGCACCGTTAATGCTAAAACGTACATAGAGATTATGGAGCACAATATGCTGGCTTCGATTCCAGGGACACCCATGCATAATTCAACAAGACAATGCAAAACCACATCATGAACAAATTACAAAGTCCTGGCTGTGGATTAAAGAGTATAACAGATACTTGAAAGGCCTGTCTCCAACAGAGAATGTGACACGTTTTGAAGTACAAAATTGAAAAATTTAAGACCCTGTACTGTTTCCCAACTTAAACTTGTTTGCTGGAAGAATGGGACCAAATTACACTATCATTTGGTGTCTTCCATCCGTAAATGTCTTTTAAGTGTTGTTAAAAAATTTCAACATTACAAAGTGGCAAATGTTTTACTGTTCCAACTTTTTTTGAAATGTGTTGCAAGAACCAAAATTGGAAAATGTGTTTAAAAAAACTAAACAAAACAATACAAATTGTTAAGAACACATTGATTCACATTAATTAATATTTGTTTTATTGTCTGCAATGAAATACAAATCAAAGAAAATTTAGAAATCACAGCTTTTTTTTTTTTTTTTTTTTTTTTTTTGCGTTTTCCATTCTGTCCCAACTTTTTTCTGATTTAGGGTTGTATAAATTAAATCCATGAAAAACCTTGCCTGTCGGATGTTGCCTTTGGTAGAGAAGAACATGTAGATTATATAACCGGGTATCAGTACCATTGAAGAAAGGGACATTAGCCAGCCAACTCCCTGACCCCAGGCTGGGTACACATACTTCCCCAGTGTCAGCGGAGTCATTTCTATGGCACTGAACGTAAAAACACCCTGCAAAACAGAAAAGCCAGAATGATTAAAAATGTATCATTAATTTAGTTTAAAAAATGACATCAATATAGTTTGTGTGATAAAGTGCTTACCAAACAAATGGTTGGAGTAAAGTAAATCCAGCATTGTTTCCAAAAGCCACAAGGCCTATAACCAATCATCTCTTCAATATTTTTATAAAACTTCTCTGCACCTGAAAAAAAAAGAAAATATATCCAACTTTAAAAATCAAACCTTTTCACCCAAGCTAGAGATCAAAAACAGTGACAACATTGAACAAAAGTACCATAAAACCAAGCAATGGAGATTGTCTCAAAGAAGACCAGGAAAAGAAGACACATTCCACTGGCTGAGTAGTAGTCGAACAGTTTAAACACATATAAGCCACCCTAAAAAAACAACAACAAAAACACAATCAGTCTCAGTTGTGATAGCAATTCAACACAATTGACTTTAATTAATTAAATAAAAAATGGTCTTTATTTAGCAAACATAAATACACTTTAAGCAGAATGCAGGCACAAACCAAACTTATAAATTACAATAATTAACAGTGAACTACACAAAACAAATGACAGGCAAACAGAATAGGTAACCATTGTAACAAATTGGCTCTTGTAAGAAACATTCTCATTTATGGAGGTAACCCTTGAATGTAGATATTATGTTGGAATGACAGACTAAGCAAACCACAAGAGAAACAGCCAATGAAATGCCTTTGGAATTGGCAAACGCAATCTCACAGGTGCAGACATTTAAGTATATATGTAAGAACCTCATGTGCGACATCACTTCAGGGTATCAATGTGGAGTCAAGTGTGGCTTAGCATTCAACTGGGGATTCAGCTACTGTGGCAATGAGATATAACATCTCCATTCCCTCTTATTATTTCCTTCAAGGAATGTTGGTCACATTTGTAACCATGAAGATCCCTTTCATTCGATCACTCTGAGGTATAACTGAACTACATATTAAGAAAATGTATGTAAAGCACCACAGCAGCTGAATATGTTATAGTAACTGAGGCTAATATTAGCATATGGGATCACTAGTGTAATGACCTCCATCCTCCCTATCCTTAAGTCACCACTAGAGGGCAACGGCCTGTAATTTGGGCTTAGCAGCTCCCCATCCAGCACCTCATAATCAGCATTGGCTGGTGTGTAACAGGTGTTTGTTGTCTCGCGCTGAAAATAAATATGAGCAGCATACTCCAGCAGCTAAACGAATGAGAACCATTTAGCTCCCCTTTTATGGCAAAGCGGAACGAGGTATGTTTGTATAATTGTTTGCAGCTACTTGATGTTGTTTATTGAATTGTGCACCGTGTTTAAATGGTGCACTATGTCTGTTTGTATTGTGAATGTCTGCTTATATTATGCTTTATGTTCTTGTGATTTGTTTACAATGTTTTTTTTTTTTTCGGTTTGTGTAGTTTTACGGTGTTCTTGTCAACACGGTGACAAGTGAAGCTTTGCAGTGTTTCATGCTGTTAAAATAAATCACTGTGCAAGCATCAGTGAGAACTCTCTGCCTCCTTCTTTGATGCCATGGGGCTGCTACAGTAAAACTCGCCGTCATTTGAGGCTTTCATTGCTTCGCGCTGCTGCTTCATCGCGTGTTTGATGCTGCATCGGAGGCTTTCATTGTGAGGCGCTGCTGTTTCATCATGTGTGTGTGACGTGGCGTCGGAGGCTTTCAACGCAGAACGCTGCTGTTTCATCACGCGTGCAACAGACTGGTCGGCATATCGGACGGGCAACGCTGGGTGCTGTGCACGCATTAAAAGCCAGAAGACAGCAGATAAAGTAATTTCTACAGTTACAGACTTGGGCTCCGGATTAAAGCAAGATAAGTGACATTAATCACAAATTGAACTCTTAAATATTAAGTGATTTAACTTTTATAGGTTGAAACTCTCTTATAACAAATGAGACTTTAATGCATCTTTAAAATTTTCTAAAGTTCTTTAAGATGTTTAATTGTGGGTTTTAAAGGTATTTGAAGGTATTTAAAGTATTTGAATGTATTTAAAGTATTTGAAGGTATTTAAAGTATTTAAAGGTATTTAAAGTATTTAAAATCATTTAAGGTATGTAAATCATTTCAAGGTATTTAAAAGTGAATTAGTTTGTGATTAATCACTAAAAGGCTGACAATATTAATGTTTTTCTCAAAATATACACTAAGATGTTGTTTGGATTACATTTTAAATGCATTTATACAATTTAAAGTCTAATTCTGTCAAATTTCTGAATGTTTAATCTGTAGAGTTGTTAGACATTTGCCTTTTATATCTGTTCGCTTCTATTTGGAGTGTCTGATTATAAAGATGGTCTGATGCAAAAAGGTTACTGCCGCTCTTTGCAATTAAAGACAAACTAAAATGGAAGACACAATAAAGCAAACAGCTGAGCAAGCAAGTCAAATGTCACTCCCAGCAGAATTATCAGTTGTTCCCACAGAAAATCAGCAAATCAGGCGCAGCTCACGAAAGGGTAGTCTAACAGAAAAGGGCCTGGAGATGCATAATGAGGAAGCAAAGAAGCATCATAAAGCATTTAACAAAGCTTATGACTGCTGGAAGCTAATGGCTAAAGAAAGTAGGTCAAAATTAAAGTCTTTATGCACTCGTGAAAATCTTGATCTAATTCAAAGAAATATTCAAAGCAAACAAGATTTAGTTAATCAGTGTTATTCTCCTTTGCTGCGCAATCGTACTACAACCACAGAAATTGTCAGAAAAGTAGACGCTTGCACCACCTTAACTGCAGAAATTTGTGATTTAGTTAGCAACCAAATTGAAACTTGTGATGAGATTCATAATGAAGTGGTTGTTAAAGAGAAAACAAGACAAATATTCAACAAGGATGAGCATGCATCTGTCTTTGGTTGCACAAATACTGAAACTGTAATTTCAGAATCATGTCCAAGCTTGGAAAGCCAGTCAAAAAGTTCTTCCAAAACTTCCAGTTAGTGAGCTGATGCAGAGGCTGAGCTAGCAGCCAAGGTAGAGCAAGCTAATGCAATGAAAGAAATTTGATCAGCAAGCGAAACTACAGAAAATACAAAATGACTGGAAGCGAAGTGAAGCAAAGATGTTTGCTGAAATAAAACAAATTGAAGCAGAAATGAGTGAAAGACTTGAGAAGGAGAGAATGAGGCTGCAGATGCTAAAGGTTGATAAGGAAGTCAAGGTAGCTGCAGCTCGTGTAAGGGCATATAATGAATTTGAAGACTGTGAGGATGAAAGGAGCAGTGTTACTAGACCCAGTCTTCTAGAAGCTGATAGCAAGTTCCAGCTAAATCCTGAGGCACCGTCTTTTCATTCACATCAGGCATTTCAGGAGGTGCAGAAAACTGAAGAGGTAGCAAACCTAACTCAAGCATTTATAAACTCTCTGAGCATAAGTCGACTACCTACACCAGAACCAACAACCTTTACTGGCAATCCACTAAAATTCATTGACTGGAAAATTTCCTTTATTGCACTTATTGATTGCAAGTCAATTTCTGCAAGTGAGAAAATGTTCTACTTAAAGGCCTATCTTGCTGGAGAAGCCCGCAAGGCTGTTGAGGGTTTTTTTATAGAAACTCTGAAGATGCATATCAAGGCGCCTAGAAGGTTCTGGAAGAGAGATATGGTAACTCGTTCATTGTTCTGAGAGCTTTTAGAGACAGACTCATGAAGTGGCCTAAGATTGGAGCAAACGATCCTCTGGCGTTAAGAGAATTTACAGACTTTCTACAAGGATGTGTGGAAGCTGTTCCTCATGTAAAGGGTTGGACATTTTTAATGACTGTGAGGAAAATTACAAATTAAATTACAAAATTACAAATTACTCGGACTTCCAGTTAAAGTCACCATGCTCTGTTTGCAATAATGAAGCGCACAATATAGCAAAATGCCCCATCTTTGCAGAAAAGTCCACAGATATGAAAACATCTTTTATTCGTTACAACCATCTCTGTTTTGGGTGTTTAAGAAAAGGACATATCACAAAAAATTGTAAACGAAGACACATCTGTGGTACATGTGGCCTGCGCAATCCAACTTGCCTACATGTAGATAGAGACAAATGGCTTGTCAAAGCACAAAGACCAGAAGCAGTTCCTACAGATGCGCAAACAAGTCAAGAAGTTCAAAGAATTAATTCTCATGCAATAACACAAAGTTCTTTTGCCACGTCTAGCATCGTTCCTGTGTTCCTCTCAACAGTAGAAGAGCCCCACAATGAAATTCTTACATATGCCCTGCTCGACACACAGAGTGATTCAACCTTTATCCTAAAGGATTTCCTGGAGGAGCTGCGTGTAAACAGCCAAGCAGTGAAGCTAAAACTAAGCACCATGACAGCTACAGATACAGTCACTTTTGGTTATAAGGTTAGTGGACTTCAAGTTCGAGGACTCCAGGGAGGAAAATGTATTCAAGTGCAGCAAGCCTATACTTGTGACTTTATTCCTGTGGACAAGGCTTATATTCCAACTAGAAAGACAGCAACACAATGGCCTCATCTTAAGCATATAGCTCATGAGTTGCCTCCATTACAGAGCTGTGACATAGGATTATTGATAGGTTAAGATTGCCCCACTGCTTTAGCTCCAACAGAAGTAATTATTGGTAAGGATAATGAGCCTTTTGCTCAAAAAACAGAACTGGGATGGAGCATCATAGGCCTTTGTAATCCCCATTTGGATAGACCAGGTAGCCAAAGGTTTGTTCACAGAGTTTCAGTGAAGGAGTTATTGGTTCCATCGGCAAACAAGATCTTGAGGATATTGGAGTCTGATTTTAATGAGAGATGTCCGGATGAAAAACATGTATCCCAAGAAGATTTCCAATTCATACAAATTCTTAGTGAAAATGTCAAGCAGAATGATGATGGACATTATCAGCTGCCTCTTCCCTTCAAGAGTAATGACCCTCCTTTACTACCTAACAACAAGAAACTTGCCCTTGCACGATTGCAACATCTGAAAAGGAAGCTGAAAATTAATCCACAGTATTATGCTAGTTACAGAGGTTTCATGAAAGAGATGTTTGAGGTGGGGCATGCAGAACCAGCCCCTACAATACCTGATGGAGAAACGGTGTGGTATATACCTCACCATGGCATTTATCATGCTCATAAACCAGGCAAATTAGGAGTGGTCTTTGACTGCTCTGCAAAGTTTCATGGTGTCTCTCTTAATGATATGCTTCTCACTGGCCCAGACTTAATTAATTCCTTAATTGGAGTTTTGTGTAGATTCAGGAAGGAGACTGTCGCAGTAACATGCGATATAGAAAAAATGTTCCATCCGTTTGTTGTTCCTCCTGAAGAAAGAGACTTCTTAAGATTCCTTTGGTGGGATAATGAAGACATGGAGGGAGAGCCCCAAGAA